TATGGCAGTATTGTCGATTATTAGAGCAAATTAAACTTCCCTCTATCAGCACTAATGTCTATAAGAGTGTAGAGTCTACATCTTTCTCACTACCTTTTTGCATTTGATACTTTTGACTCGGTTTTGGATAGCGCATAGGATGCTGATGAGACATAGGCGGGGTCTCATTTTGCCTTTAACGAGGCTTAATTAGGTGACATTCCAAATGAATGTGGGACCTCTGATTAATTGATTTGCGGTAAGCTTAGCTCTGGATCCATCCATCACCTTAACCAACTCGAGGTGTCTCCGGTTTTTAAAAAATTTCTTTCCTTAAGAACCAAAGCCCCTTAGATCGTATAAAATTCGGAGTGGAACAAACAAAATTGTATGATTCTAAACTTATTCTCGTAGGGTCTCAAGGATTTTGGTGGGATCGTGTAGTATGTGGAAGTACTATCTCCCCCTATTGTGTGATATTCTAAGATTTAATCGGTTTTATCCTATTTCGTATTGCCATGCCTTCCTCTTATACTTAAATATCTGTTTACGAGTTTCCTACTTTTGCTGTTCGCCGTAATCATCTGTGCTAATATAGTCTTACTTTTGCGCAATTTTATTGTGGATGCGTTCTTGTACTTTATCCTGGGTAGCATGGCAATAAAGGGAGTAGTTTTGACGTATATGGCCTTGCTGTAGCGTTGTCCTATCCTTTAACTGACCTTTAATTGCTTTTCCGGCATCTGTTTTATAATTCTGCGTTGTATACTGGACAGTAAGGTAGTGTTGATTAGCCGTAAGCTTATCGTATGCACGATTATGCTGCCTTTAGGAGATTTGAATTTGTCTGGGATTCAGATGTACACACGTTCGGTTCAAGGCTTTTTTGGCGGCTGTGGCCACAAGCTTTACTTTCAGGCTATCAATTTGGCCAAAGAAGAACCCCACGCGGTGCCTGGGCCCAGAGCTGTGGTTGTACACGCTAGTCTACAGCCAGCCGGCGACGTAATGGCAGTGCCGGTTGTTCGTTGGTCTGTGTAGGATTCATGTATACTTTTGGGAATACCCTCAGCTCAGGGGAGCACTGGAGGGTGAAAAAAATGGTGCAGAGGTCAAGGAATTCATTCCTTCACCCAACCGCTTTGCTCTCAGATCTACGGAGATGATAGTCCCTTATCAGCAACCGTCACTTAAGTGCGTGTTTTCAACACCTCTGCCATAGAGACTATAGGCATTATTTGCATTGATTTTGTTGTTAATCGAATTGGTCCGGGTACAAATTAGAATTCTGGCAGAATCAAGCCTCTTCTTCTCATCGGCGTAAACAAATTGGCCCTCAGTGCCGCTAACATCACTTCTGACAGGGGTCTGTTGACTTGTTCGAACACATAATCACCAGGCTGAAGGCACTGACTGAGCAAACCGAGACATGTTTTAGATGCGAGGGTTACGGCCGTCATTAGACCACG